AAGAGATATAGGTAGTGACGGCACTACATCATCGAATTAGCTCTTATCGGTATTGCTTAGAGAGTTTTGATTGGCTGAATTTAATTGGTTGATGAATTGTTATAGGCCTTGGTAATGTGTTTAGAGTAAGGCAAGTGTTTGAACGAGTTTGGTAAAGGTTGTGCGGTATTTGGTATTGTGGAAAAGTTGGTGTTCGAGCTATCTATTTAGCTACATTAGTTGGATTAGCATTTGTGGGAATTATGAATGGCACGGATGGGTTATGCATGTTGTTTTGAGGGATGAACTGATTGTTATTCTTCCAAAAATTGTTCCATTACCCACTTAGGAATGAAAGAAGATCATCTACTTTGATATATGTCTTGGTCTTTTTCGACTAAAGTTACTCCTCTTGCGTTCGGATTCTAAAAGATTGGCTATCCTCCCTCATTTGATGGCTTGTTATATCCGATCTATAGTAGATACTATCTCCATAAAGTTGTTTGACCCATTACTTAGCATATAATCATATATGGGGCCTTAAAGGTATTGATAAAAAGAGCAATACTTAGCATATAGTCATAAAATGGGGCTTTAAAGGTATTGATAAAAAGAGCAACCAATTCTCTCTCAAAAAGGGGCGGGCGGATACGAGAAGCTTTTTCTCGTCATCGTTGAGCATACTCCCTAACGGACTCCCTCGGGTCTTTTTTCATAGACTACGAAGCTAGATCTATTAGGTGTTATCTCTAGATTAAATTTATATTGCCTCATGAATACGTCCACTAAATCTTTCCATTTTTTTATTTTGGTTTGGTCCGAGTCAATAAACCGAGTGAGAGCGGACCCATCGAGACTCTCGAAACAAATGGATCAATAACTTTTCATCATATGCTATTTCGGTCATCTTATTCGGATAGATCCTTAGGTAGTCCTAGGACATTGACTTCCGAGTGTACTTGGCAAGTTTGGGCACTTTAAACTTTTGAGGAATCACCACATTCGACATTAGAAATTTATCTATGCTAAGTAGGGGATCATACATATCCGCACCTTCGATAGCTCTCGAAGCATTCCTCAATGGCGGTGAGTTTCTCAATTTCAAGTTCTAAAGCCATCTTTCCATTGGGCAACTCTTCGGTGATGAAATCAATAGTTGCGGCTATCGGTGCTTGGCTAGTCCGAGGCAATACAAGAGCGGGGCTCGAAGGTCTTGATGCAAACTCATATGTGCCCTCGATATGGGATAGTTGGCATGATTAGTAATACTCGACGGGCTCCAAATAAGGCATATCAAGAGATGGTACTGGAGCAATAGTACGAGTGATTGGCGGTGACATGGTGGTGAACCCTTTCGGAAAGCCGATGATCGGCCAACTTCTCTTTGGACGACAATCTCTAAAGACATGTGATTTTATTGACTTTGTTCCAACGGAGCGGTAAGTCCGAAACCTCTTCCTTTAGCGTCTTTACCTCCTTACGGTGATTTTGCTCGAGCGAGCTCTTTTTTCGTTTTTCATCTTTTTTCTTGCTGCGGTATGAGGAATGTGTGAGGGAAGTGTAGTTTTGGCGGGTCGACCTATGTTTTTGCTTAGAAAAATGATAACAAACACAAAATATAGATAATATGTTAAAAATAAAACAACACTCGAGACTCGAATATGGAATAGCCTTCATGTGGGAATGATAAGAGGATCCAATTGTTGATTATTTGGCATTTTTCCAAATTGGGTTAAAGATAAATTAGGTTTCATCGGTAACCCTTGACATATTCTAATCCAACTTTGAAACTTCTTTGGTATTTAGACGTTGTAGAAACTAAACTTCAATCCTCTTATCACCCATCCCGAAACATCGTGACCAAATTACTTGGTCAAGGTTTCTATGTATCCGACTTGCTTAGTGACATTTACCGGGTAAGATTCTAAGGTTTGGTTCTAAGTCATTATGTAATTGGGTAGGATCTATCTAAGTCTCAAAGGGTCCATTTTGGCCGAGAGAATCGAGACTAACCAAGTGTGAAGCTAGTAATCATGGAGACCATCAAATACCTATCGCGACAGTGGCCATTTTCCAAAAGCGTTAAGGTTTTGTAAGTGTTACCGGGGTAAAACCCATCGAGGTATCAATAATTCCTCCTTAGATCCTAAGGCAAATGTGTGATAAACATAAAAGTAATGGTGAGTGTAGTGTGTGTTTAAGCATTATTTTCATATCCGATCCTAAACACAAAACTAAAGACACAAATAAAGATACGAAAAGAAATAAATAAATAAATAAGCAAAAACAAAATACAAGGCAAACAATAGCAAAAAAACATGAATTTATATAAAGCGAGGCAAATTACACAAATCGACATACGAGCATAAAAATCCATCATATCATCGAAATCAAATTCAAAAATTTCATGCAAAGCCTAATCCTAAGTATGTCCCCGGTTGAGTCGCCATTCCGTCATAAGGCGACGTCAACGGTGAGGTGAACATAAGAAAAATGATTGGAGTCGCCACCTAGTATTATAGTTACTAGGAAACCTAGTGATTGGTTTGTTCGGAGTTTTGGATAAGGGGTTTATTACGTGTAGGGAAGATCAAAAGTCACCTTACCCCGATCCCGCCTAAGGTAAGCTGCATTGGATGCAAAACCAACTTGATTTCTGATTTTTTTTTTATGATGAAAGATTATGTACATTTTTCAAGCATTTGCCTATTGGTCAAGTGATTTGGGACTTGGTCGATCGAAATCGTATCCTCGATACGTAATGCATGGCTAAGAAATGATGCAAAGATATGTGACTAATATGACTTAAATGATGGGCACTGAAAACAAAATTTAAGAATGAAAAAATAGGCAAATAAACAAGACGGATAAGTTGGCAAAGTAGATATACCGGTAGAAATATACGAATAAGCAATTAGGTAAAATAAGCAAGAATCGACAAACAGGCAAATAGGCAAAATAGGCAAATTGGCGAATAATTAAACATGTAAATAGAAAAAATAGGCAAAATCGACAAATTAACAAATGGGCAATATTGAAAAATTAGCACGAGTGGCAAGTGAGCAATTAGGCAAAATAAGTAAATTGGCAAAAATCGGCTAAGTGGCAAATTGACAAATAGTCAAACAAGCAAATAAGCAAAATCGACAGATTGATAAATAGGGAAAATCGACAAATTGGCAAATCGATGAAATTAACAAATTGATAGTTAGGAAAAAATTGAAAAATAGGTGAAAATTGGCAAAATAGGCAAAAATCGACAAATAGGCCAAAAATCGATAACTTGACAAAAATAGGCTAAAATCGACAACTTAGGCAAAAATAGGCTAAAATCGACGAGCTTAGGCAAAAATAGGCTAAAAGCAATAGTGTAGGGAAAAATAAACTAAAATCGATGGCTTAGGAAAAAAAATAAGCTAAAATCGGTAAGCATAGACAAAACAAGCAAAAATCGGCGAACTTAGGCAAAAATAGGCTAAAATCGGCAAACTCGAAGCACATGTAGGAAAAACTTGACGGGAATTAACAATTGGACCAAAAATGGAGAAAGCATAAAAATTGACGAAATTAATTACTTTGGCAAGAATAATCAATCGTGTTTGATGAAAGTAAAGTTACATGGCAACGAGTTCAAACTTTATTGACTTAACGTTGTGTTTTTTTTTATAAAATCACCATACGAGATGCCTCTTTAAAATATACATTCCGAACAACAAATACCTAAATGTTCAAATTGACGCATCATTTATTGTCATATCGTAAAATCAACAATGCACATCATCTCAATTCAATCAAATTGCACATGAACAAATAAATAAAATTAATTATAACACATTCATTTAATTAATTACATGACACATATCAACACGAATCAAATTTAATACCTATTAGAATAAAAATAAAACGAAATAAAATAAAAAATGAAAAAGATTACCGTAAAGAAAATGAACTAGATCGATTCGCTCGACGGTCTTGAAGTCGGATCTAATCTTTTCAACCCCGATGGAGATCAATATTTGGTCAACCGGAGAGGAAATGTGAATAGAGTGGTGGGCTGTCGGTGGAGTGTGGGAAGGCCCGCTTTGTGTGGTGGCTACTAGTGGAAGCACTGGTGCGCCCGGAGAGAGGGTCGTTGGCCGAGTCTTCTGCTGCGCATTGGCTTGGAGTGCTAGGGGGTTTTGAGGGCTACTTTTATGGTTTAAGGTTGTCTAAAGGGATTGCTCTGTAAGAGCTTTTGGGAGCTGTTGGTAATGGTTGCGGGGTTGTAAAGGCTGCTTGTTGGTGGTTGTTTTGGGTCTAGTTTTTGGGCGGTTTCGGGATGTGTTTTGAGAGTGTTTTAGGGCTATGTCAAAGCTATATTGGTGATGTTTTTTAGGGTATTTTTTTTTATTCAAATGAGATATCCGAAGGGGTTGCTCTGTAAGGGCTTTTGGAGGCTATTGGTAATGGTTGTCCTCCCTTTTACGTGAAAGATTTACGCTAGCTCTGTTCAACCAAGCCTTTGACCATTAGAACGATCCAATCTTGAACTAGTGTATTCATAAGAATTATAGGGCCCGATGTTATCTTTCCACTACAACTGGCCTTTCATCGATTGAACTCTTATACCTCAAGATATGGGCTCTGAACCCAAAAGGCCACTGCTGCTAAAAAAACCTGCTGGACAAATTCTAAATTTTGAATTATAGCCCCATTTTGACTTTCAAATATTCCAAATTAGGTTTTTTTCCCTTCACAATAGTTTTAGCTCAATCTATTAACTTTTTAAAGATCCTAAGATCACCCGATTTGGATGTTCGTATCCCAAGTTATGGTCAAAATACAAAATAGGTGTGAGACCCGAGTGGCTCGAGGCATGTTGGCTTGGGCGAGGGGGCCGTGGCTTGTTGGCTTGGTGCGGGATGAAGGATTATGCGAGAAAGTAGCATAAGGTCGGTGAGAGGGCATATGTGGGCAATAGCGTGAGGTCTGGTGAGAGGGGCTAAGGGTGCTTGGTGTGAGGGAGAGAGAGGCGATTGAAAATGGGTGAAGAGTTTGTAGCATGGGAGAGGGCTGCTTGTGGGAGCTACTTATGGCATAAGAAAGAGGCTGTTATGAGGGCTACTTATGGCTTGAAAGAGGAGTTGGAGCACACAAAGGAGCTAAAGGTATGGGTTGGAATGGCTTATCAAAGGAAGGGGTCAGTTATAGAAAGGTTTCGGGTGAGTGGGAGAGTGGCGGTCATGGTGTATGGTGGCTAAATATGTTTTAGGTGGGAGAGATGAACGGTAGCTAATTAAGGATGGGTGTGGGGGGAACAATAAGTGTTTGTAGGGTGGTTATGATGGTTTTTGTCAAGGAAAGAAAGAGAGGAAAGGGGCTGCCATGGAGGAACTTTATGGGTGAGGAAAAGAGGTGGGTAATGTCGGTTGGAAGGGTTTTTCTTAAGAAGGTGGTGGTGAATAGTGACTACTCCTTTTTTGGGGAGAAAAGGTTATTTTTATACTAGGTTTTTTAGGATTTTTTGGCTAAAAGTCTCTTTGGTCCCCCATTTTATAAACCCACTTTATTTTGATTCCTTTCTCCTTTTTTTTCCAATTGCACCCCCACATTATTATTTTTAATTCCTGTTCTTTTCTTCGTTTCTTTTTCTTCTTTTCTTATTTTTTTTTGGAACCAAAATTGGGTGCTAATAATTATTATTATTTGGTTGAAGATAGGAAATTTTATTGATAAACCGAGTAATACAAAGTGAGTTTTATAACCCGACATCCAAGACGGACAAATTAAAAAGAAGATTACATTAAAAGAAAATTAAAAAGATAGAGCAAAATAATTACATGATACAATAAAAAAGAAAAAAAAGTCATTGATCAATCCCAAATCTAGTGACGATCCATAGCCCACTATTGTCTACCATATGTGTTCCAATATGTCAAGATCAATTGGATGAATCTTCATTAGGAGTAAGAAAAAAAGTTGTAAAAAAACCATAAAATCTAAAGAAAAGGCCCAAAAAGATAAGAAAAAAATAATAATGAGATATTACAAAACGAAAAAGTCAAATCCAAAAGCATACATAAAGAAAAAAATGATATTGCTAGCAACAATAAATAAGAAAAACCATAAGAGATTCTCAAAGCCTTAGAGAAATGAAAAAAGAAAAGTATTTTATTTGTTATTAGATTTGGTGTGATAAGATAAAAATTAAATAAAAGGGAAGAATGACATATCACCCCATTACTTGAAAAAGACTCCTTTAAGTTATTTAATGTTTTTTTCTTTTTTACTAATTGGAAATAAAGTATCCTCTAATCAATTGAAAAACGAGTTTCTATCTATTTCTTATTTAGGTCTCTCATTTATCTTTTTTGCAATTAACTATTTTTTTATCTTATTAACCAATTTCAAGCCATATTGAAGACACATTAGAAACACTAAAAATCATAAAATAATGACATATGTCTTATGTTTAACATTTTCAAAACATCTATTGTTGTTTTAGTAGATATTTGTATCTTTTGTTGTCGGAAATTGACCAATGAAATGAAATAATTTAACAATGAGACTTAAAAAAAATTAGAGACCTAAATTAGAAAAAGAAAAAGAAAAAGAAAAAAGATTAGTTCGGTTCAACCTATTTCACAACCAATTAGTATTTTTTTCCTTTTTAAAATAGGTTTTCTTTTATACATAAAAGGCCACTTTGATAATAATAAAACCTAAATTACTTATTAGTCCCTATAATCCGAGTTTCGGACAAATGTGAATGAATAGGGAACTATCGGCCTTGGATGCTTGAAGTCCATTTGCTTCCAGAAGGTACTCGACCTCTCGAACCATGCCGGAGGGCTTGTTTTAAGCCATAGAGAGATCGATGCGGGAGGCAAACGTGGTTAGGATGGCTAGCAACAATGTGTCCTTGTGATTGTTCCATGTATACTTCTTCGTTAAATACCCATGAAGGAAGGCATTGGAAATGTCTAGTTGGCGTAGAGGCCAACCATGCACCGTGGCCATGGAGAGGATGGTTCTAATTGTTGTGGCTTTAATGACTAGACTCGAATGTCTCAATATAATCCACTCCGATTACTGATTGTACCCTTTCATAACTAGTCTCACTTTATACCTTTCAATGGCACCATTGGGTGTTCTTTTTATACGAAATACCCATTTGTTTCTCACTACGTTTTGATGCGGTGGCCATAAAACCAATGTCTATGCTTTCTTGGTGATTAGTGCGGTGATTTCATCACTCATAGCATGTCACGATTCCACATAGTTTTTGGTTTGAGAGTATGAATTGGGTACTATGTTTAGGTAGTTTGCGGACTTGGGATTTATTAGGATGGCATGGGCTATCTTGCGAGGATTGGGGTTTAGGCTGTAGCTTCATTGGGTGGGTCCGGATAGGTGGGCTCTACTATTTGTGTGCTTTTTTGGGTAGTGGTGTATTTTATAAGGCCAACTATGAGTTGTGGATCATGTGTGGCGTGGGATGAAATGGAGGTAAGATGATGCGGTGTTACTTGGAGGTTAAGTGGATTTATCCGAGTGCTTGCTGTGAATTGAGAAGGTGGTCGTTATGTAAGAGAAGAAGGGCGTAGAACTAGTGTACACGAAGGTGGAAGACCCATATGATGTGGCAAGCTAGTTGTAACTTGGAGCCAATTGTTGCTTGTCATGATTAGCTTACGTGTGCTTGTTCTCGTTGACGATGGCAAAGGGAAACAATTGTTCGTTGAATTTTGTGTGACGTGCAATGTAGACATGATTGGAACGAATATCCAAATAGCAATATCCATGATAGGTGGGTGAAAGGCCAAGATTAACATACTCGTAGTGAGATTTGAAAATTTATGAGGGTTATAGGGTCGAAGAAGTGGATAAATGGCATAACCAAAAACTTTTAGAGATGTAGTAGAAGGTAGTTTTGTAAACAATTTTTGGTATGGACGAGTGATTTTAAAGGACATGACTTAGAAGTTGGTTGATAAGTGAAATTGCTATATCAAAGGCATAATTCCAATACCTTAAGGGAATAGAAACATGGGCTAGGAGAGTAAGGCCGATGCCAACTAAATGTTGAATTTTCCTTTCTAAAATTTTATTTTGTTCATGAGTATATTGACAAGCAATTCTATGAATGATTCTAAGGTTTTTAAAGTGTCTATTTAATTTTTGATACTCATCACCCCAATTTGAATGAAAAGCTAAAATTTTTGAATTGAATGGATGTTCAACATAGGCATTAAAATGATGAAAATTAGAAAACACATCACTCTTGTTTTTTACAAAATATATTCGGATATACACGGTGAATTCATCGGTAAATAACAAACAATACTTATGACCTAAGGAGGATAAAATTGGGGCATGACCCCGGACATCGAAGTAAATTATTTGAAATGGTTTAGTGCTCTTGTGTTCAACGAGAGGCAAGTGGAATGCGAGCTAACTTGCCGAGATGGCGGGAGGAGCGAGTTAAAGGAAGGTGATGGATTTGGTGCTAGTTGGTTGGCTTTGAGAACTTTATGGATTGTACGGAGGCGAGGATGTCCCATGCGTGTATGCCACTATTCCAAGGAGAAGACTTCACCATGATAAGCAATTTTTGGTTCATAGTTCCACCAACCATTTGATATAAGCCACGCTCACTTAAGCCTTTGAATAGGGTGGCCTTGGTCATTTAATCCTTAAAAAAAGTATTTAGGCCGGAATTCAAAGTGGTAATTATTGTCAATTGTGAATTTATTGATGGAAAGCGAGTGGTTTTGATATCTATGGCACATAGAGAACATTTTTAATAGAAATTTGATGTTGGGTGTGTGGATATAAGACATACCGAGTGAGAGATGGGAAAACCTTGGCCATTGGCAATGGTGAGATCTGGTCGGGACCTTTGTAATAATGGGCAATGCTTATGGCGAGAGAGATCTAAAGTGACGTGATAGGAGGCTCCGGAATGAAGATGCCATGTTTGAGAAGGACTACTCGCGGCATGAGGTGCAATGCTAGAGTTGTATGCATGAGGCAGAGAGTGATTTCCATATGGTGATTGCGAGGGAGGTGCGAGTGGGGAGACCGGTGTGTTGGTGCCAAACATTGCATTTTCTTATGGATGAGGAGATGAACGAAGGGAATAACGACTACGACATCGATCGAGTAGTGCGGTTTCGCAAACCATAAATTTGGTATGGTCCTCTCGTTTCGTGGTAAGTATTTTGCTTGTTTGCATGGTTCTTGGAAATGGTCATGTTGAAGGCGTGGGCGGTAGGGGATGGTTTCGATTTTTTAGGTGAGTCGTGGGACAATTATAAGTCCCCTTGAGGAGAATTTCATGAGCCACCAAGTGGCCATGTAGTTCATGAAAAAAGACCGGTTCCGGACACGGATTAAGAGTAATGATGATGTTGTGATATTCGGTTCGATGTTGCGATAAATAATCGCATTGAACTCCATCGATGTCATTCTACGGCTAGGCTGTGGCTAGTTCATCAGCCAAAAGACTTTGCCCTTTGAGGATTGTCGATCACAAAGAGGTCATTTTTCTTGAGTTCTTGTAATGCAATGTTGAGCTAGAGTTGGCAATTGTGAGAGATGGAGCCAAAGGCATTGGTCGAGGCGATCCGGACCTATAAGGAAAAAATGAGATCAATAACATAAGGAAACATGTCCTCGGTGAGAGAGGAAAGTAGCCATGAGTGCAACATTTGATCTTTTTGGAACCAAATATGATAGGCGGGGTTAGGGGAGGTAAGAAATGGTGTAACAACCCCGTTCCAAAAACATACACTGTTCATGCATACATGCATACTTAGAAATTACACGCATATAATTATACATGCATATGACATGTTAGTGGGGTATTGGATAATAAGTATTTGAAATAATAGAAAGAAATAGAGGCTCAATTGTAAGTATTTGGAATAATAGGAAGAATTAGGGACTCAATTGAATATAATCTAAGTTGGGGGACTAGAATAAAAACAAGCTAAAACTTGAGAGACCAAAATGAACTTTGCCAAAATATCTTCACAACCTTATCAAGATTACTTACCTGATCATTATCTCTTCTTATCCCATCTGGTTTCCCGTTTTGAGAGAGAGATAGAGAGAAAAACCCCATTTCTTTGTCAAATTCGGATGATCAAGCTGGAAATCTAGGTAAGTTCATCCCCAGCTCTGTTTTGCACTCTTGATTTTGAGACTTTAGGGTCCGATCTGGAACAAGTTGCAAGAATAAAAATTGTTGATTTGTGTCTTATCTAGCTCTCAGTGAAAGGGTTTTGTATTTAGTGATTTATATTTCGGGTTATAATGGTTTGAACACATGTTGTTCTGGGTGATCTGATGCTGGCAGATTAGTGTGCAAACTTTAAAAATATGGTATTCTTTGGGTGTTG